AGCTACTGGATTTTTCTTTTAGACTCCCTGATAGAAAAATTTGTTAAACGCAGTGACATTTTGGGGCAAATCATCTGATTTGTCCCTCTACAAATATATTGAAATAATACGAATACTTTTATTTTATAGAAACGAGGAGAGAAAATCCCAAAGAACCAAGTAAAATGAAAATAATTTCTGATAGGTAATGAAGTCTCAATTAAATTATTATAGTATTTTCGGTATTTTCCGAGTTATCTTTCGAGGTATTCTCGAATGATCAGACCGATAGTTGACCTTGAATAAATACGTTAATAATGATAATCAATTTTGTTGATCAGTTACTTTTCAAGAATAATTCTCAACCTATTATATAATCATTATTTATAACCTTTTATGACACAACTTGATAAAATAGTAAATAATAAACTTCACCCGAGAATTCTATACCATCATTATGCAAACTCAAATGCAAGGTTGAGAATATTCAAGCTTATGTTATAAGAATGAATAAGGATCAGAAATAAATTATAGCTCTGCAATACCTATGCTTCAAAATTTGTTTGAGGAGGTGAATTAATAATTATTCATCTATCGATAACTTTCTGAAAGAGTGCAGGGATGATGATGACTGTTTTGATAATGCTCATTGAATCTTTGAAAATAAAAATATAAAAAAGATGAATCTCTGATATATCCTCGGATATATCATTCACTTCTTCTGGTATATATAGGCATCAAGTTTCGGGATTTTTTCTTCGATCAGGTGAGTGGGAGATATTTCTGCCGTTGATCCCATGACGACGAAAGCTTCCAAATGAGTGGTGACAAGCCATACGGTTAGATATGAAAAAATCTTGTTAAGGGTGGTTCCAGCTACCCCTGGAGGGATATATTCTCGATATTGCTTGCAAAAGGTTGGTGAATACATTAAATCGTTGTGATATATCGGGAATTTTCATAAAAAATATTCACCACCCTGCTGAAGAATTTATTTCAGTTGAGGTCTCCACACTGCATATAACCTCGACTATAATGTCTATGACTATAACTTACGGAATTTGCATTTAAATAGAAAATATGGATTTCATAGAAGATTTTACGTTAACGGGTTAGCCTTTCAACATTTCAGAACCGATTTCAATCCTAATAAAAGGACTTTATTTTCCATACTTTTAGCTGTGGGGAGAAATGATTAGTTCGACATTTCTCCGTCCCAGTCATAGGGTAAATTGAAGAGTGTTTGATGTATACCTCCAACATCAAATCCGGTATCGTTGAATTCCTTTATTGAAATACCTTACCCAATTCGGAAAATTATATGGACATATAGGCTGTTTCAAGCATAATGAAGAAAATTGATGAGAGTTCCAGAAAAACAGAAAATGTGGCAACCGACTATATCCGTTTAGCACCATGCGATTTCAAAACGATTCTCACGATATTTCACTGTAACTTCAGTTCAACTCTGCTGTAATTTGTCCAACCTTGTATCATCAAAGATCAAAGGCGGTGTTTAACTCGTTTTGTTTGTTCTTGAAGATGATGAATGGATTCTTTCTACTAAGTGTTATTGGAGGTGCTGGTGTTCCGCAAGGATCAATTCTAGCACCAACACTATTTCTACTCCATATCAACGATTTGTTGGAAGAAACTTCATGTCCAGTACACAGCTTCGCGGATGATAGTATCCTCCATACCGCCTTCTTTTCCAGGACTCCAATACCAGCCAGGCAAATCAGAAACGAACGAGGAAGAAACAAAACACAAGCATGCCTTTTCTCTGGAAAAGCCGATCTCACTGTGCCCAATATAAGCTTGTCAGGAGTAACCATACCTTTGAAGACATCCATTTCGATGTTTGGTATTTCTATCAGCAATGACCTTTCTTGGGAAAATCACGTGAGATCAATTACTAAAAGTGCATCCCAAAAACTTGGTTTTCTGTTTCGGGCCAGGTGCTATTTCACTTCCAGTTATAGCTGCTTAGGATCTATAGGGCACATATCCGACCTGTCCTGGAATACTGTTCCCATATTTGGAGTGCAGCACCCAAACATATCCTGAAACTTTTGGATTCTGTCCAAAAAAGGGCAATTCGTCTCGTGGTTGATGCCTCGCTCACAAACTCACACACTTCTCTGGAACACCGAAGTAAATTTGGCGGCCTGGCTCTATTTAATAGATATTTCAACAATTATTCCCACCCTGGAAATCCCCGCGAGAATAACCCGTCGAGTTGAGGCTTTGCACCCCTTCGTGGTCACCTTGGAGACCTGCAGAACATCTCTTTCCAAAGACTCGTTCATTTAACAAACAGCGAGGCTCTGGAACACATGTGGGGGTGTTCCCCGAGGCAAATAACTTCCAGACATATAAGAAGAACACCAATTCCTACCTTATATCCCTTGGTTCTCACGATGTTCTCTGAACATTACAGGATGTCCCTTCGTGGGAACCAGAACATAAAAAAAGAAGTTGTTACTTCTTTTACCATTATTTTGTGAAAATACCAGAAGATATCTATATATTCGATATTCCGGAAACATCAGACTCAAATAATTTAGATGTTCGACATTTTCGGACATCCTGTGTAACACTTGCATAATCAATTATTATTAATATATTCCGTCGAGACTGTGGCTGCATTTCTTTTTTGGGACAAATGTACCGTATGAAACTCGGTATGAAAGAACAGATTCTGTCCCTATCGAGGTCACTGCGATATTTGAATTAGGCATCGAGGAAACGTTCTCGGAAACGTTCAAACACAAAAGTGAGCATTTCAAATGCATATGAATATGTCAAATGGTTGTACGACTGAATGCCATAATACGAGAGCAAGAGCACAGTTTATTCCTTAAACTGTGGCAAGAGTGAGATGTTTATAGGCGACATTCTCTAATTTTCATGGGACTTTCAATCCTTGTTTCTATAAATACTGTCTGTAGGTTAATCGAATATTATTTCAATATACTTGTAGTAAGGTCAAATCAGATGATTTGCTCCAAAATGTTACTGATGCGATTGAAAATCTTACTACAAGAAACCTGACAAAGAAATTCAATCAGTGGATAAAAATTGATCTCATTGCATTTTCAGTCTTGAACTCAGTTTTCACTTGAAACTTATCACCGCCACACCAACACGAATTAGGTATATATGGTTATTCGCTGCTATATTGATGGTTGTAAATTTGTTTTCAATATAGTGGGTTGTTCTATCAATCAAGTTTTTCGTATAGGAGTTGAGTTGAGTGGTCGATTTCGCTATAGAAAATTTGGTGATACATAATCATGCTTGGAAATTTTAATACGATAGACTCATTATGAAAACATTATTTGATTATGTAATGAGAGCATTTGAAACTGGTTATTGATTGCCGCAAGATGGACATACTTAATTACTCTAAATCTGAACATTTCGGTATCTAAGTAGGTATTATTCAACGTGAGAGTGCGCATGCATTGATTCAATATTTGTCAACTCGAGAGTGCCTCGGCCCCCTACTTACTCAATTTTTTCTTCATTAAGCAACGTCAAAATATATGTAGACAAAAGCCTTATATATACTTCAAATTCATTCGACCTTAACCAAAAAAACACTCCTATTCCGTATAATTCACCTACCTACCTCTTGAAGAACAAGTTTTTGCAACTTGGAATCCTATAATGTTCAATTCAAAATTTGTTAGAGGTTTAAACGTCCCGTTTTCGGATTTTTCAAATTAAATAAATGTAATAACCCTATATAAGTGATCCCTCGAATTTTTTTCAAAATGTCATGGCCTCCTACCGGAAAATTTGATTCTAGAACCGCCTCATTTTTATGACATATTATATAGCTTGTGTTGACTGATTGAGAACTATATGTAAAATGTGAATACAGTCATTCATTGAAATTGAAATTACGTACTTATTTATGTAGGATAGGCACACACACATATGGGCTCGGCAATGAAGTATGTCGAACAATTCAAACTGGAGGTATTAGGTATTAGAATAGTACATTATACACCTAGGAAATAAAGTGGTATTTTAAATCCTTAGACAGAAAGTTTATAGCCCGATCACCGAAAAAAAAATTCAAATGCTATACTAAACGGTAGTTACTATATTTCTAAAACATCATCGAAAGGGCTGATTGTTACCATATCAACGACTTCAGTAACTATATGGTGAACCAGATCATGATTGTCATCGGCAACTGAAAATCTTGGTGTGTTATGACAAGTAATTAAATAAAACATAAATAAATAAATATTAGTCAAACACGCCACACCGTTTGAAAGACGTTGATCGCGATGGAACAAATCGTAAAGGCAGCTCAACAAGCTGAATAAGGCAAGGCCTATTATTACCAAGAAAATCTGAAGAACAATATAAAAAACAGTAATCAGAGTTTATCAAATGATGCAAAGAACGGAACGTAAAAAAATGTACATAAGAAAAGATACTGCTAGCAGATTTCTTGGAAAAGTAAAGAAAGCTTAAAGCATCGTCATTGTGGAGCGTATATTCGATAATAGAAGCCACAATTGCAACAGATATTTTGAAAATACATTTCTAAATTCAGCTTTTATTGCAAAGTAAAGTAAAACTTAAAATCCCTAGGTATTTAAATTACCACTTTTTCACCGAAAATAGGGAATCAACCATCACAACTCCCAACTTCCGAAACTATTACCTAGTTCGAAACTTGTACCGAACTATGAATAATGTTTATTATTATTGTTGGATATGAGAAGGTATACCTCGCTGTACCTCTATCGCTTATTAAAAAGAATATTTGTCTACTAATACACTTATACTTGCACACCTGAGTACTATTATTTGAAAACAAACGAGACTTCATAATATTAATAACTGAGATACTCAAAAATTGTTGGGAAACGTCGTTTGAGTATTTTAAAGAAAAAGTGAGAAAAATAATACTACCTATCGCTCATCACATCTCATTTTGAGATTGCCTATTATACAATTTATACAAACTAATCAATCATGCGGCAAAATTGACTTACGAATTCCACGAGTTTAAGAATTCCTGGAGTCGTCTTGAAGTAATTCAAATTAATCCTGATCCAGGCCACAGCCGATTGTGGCTGACCGGAGGCAGCAGGCTGTTGCTTGTTGGGCGCGTTGTTGTTGGGCGCCTCCTGCACATTTACCACCGTTTCCGTCATCATCAGACCGATTTTCCACTAATAGAACTGAGGGTTTTCCACGATTTTCGCGTCTTGTTCGAGATCGACACCGTGTTATTCGCCGCACGCCAACGAGAATTCCTAACGAACAGTTCAAAAGGTAAAGTTGTCCGCGCCAGCAGTAAACTGAAACCTGATAGCGACGTTGCCATAGTAGGGAGATTTTACCCAAAGTGTGGGTTATATGGAAAGCCAGTGCAGTACAGCCCCGGGGCCTTCACAATAAAGGGGCCCCTACAATAGAGAACAAAAAATCTTTTGAAATTCGACGGGGTAAACACTAGTGAACATATTATTTTTTATGGAAAAGTTATGTTCGTTATTTTACCCCTAGTACTTTGTAGAAATATGATCAGTGGCGGATTCACCGGTACGCTTAGTATGCTCAAGCTTAGGGCCCCGACCCTTGCAGGGGCCCCCGAGGGGCCCTGGCATTGCATGACTATTTTCCCATATCATTCGTTTGTATAGATGAAATAATGATAGAAATGAATTTCTCTTTTGAGCAATAGGTATTTATTTTATATACCTAGAAGCAGCGGCAACATTCCAAAAATGTTGAAAACCATAAGCAGGGTCCTGCCGATCTCATAGCGACAGTGGGCCGGTTAAGGAAAAAAAAAGTTCAATAACTTCCTCGATATGGCATTTTGCAAACTGAAAAAAAAAAAAACATGTGATTTTCTGTTTTTTCATTCCAATTTTTCAGGAACGGCAACTTTTTTCATCTGCAAAACGTATACCGTTGAGGAAATAGTAATAATGTTCCTATGAAATCGGCGGGACCCTATATACTGAAGGAATGATGGACGTGTTTTTCAATGCAAAATACTACATTGAACTTGTTTTCAACACTGCCATCAGTGACCAATTGCGGAGGAGAGCGTTTATTGTCAAAATTATCAATAATCAAATCAAATTGTGTACCTAATTCCGAAGAGAGAACATAACAAACTTTGGGAATGCTTTCCATCGAAAGTGATTTGATGAGCAGTTCGATTTATGATGGTGCAATGAAAGTATTCGCAGATTCGTGAATCAGAAAATTGGAAGTGATATCGTAGTATGTTTCTCCTAGTAATTTCGTTACGGTTTAGTTCTTTTATTTTGAACGTATCTGATCCTAGTCAGTGTTATAGCTACGTTCATTTTATTTCATGTGGCTCTGATTTTTTTTTATTTGTTATTATATCCTAAACCATATCAATGAATGCACTTTTTTTTGTTCCTTATATCCTATATATTTTCATTATGCATTTTTCGCTTTTATTTGGTCAGGAAATGTTAGATTGGAAAATTGGTGAGAAGAAATAACAGGGGGAGAAAAAACGATGGGTAGGGGCCACAAGGGCCCCAAGAATTATCAAGCTTAGGGCCCCAGAAATCGTAGATCCGCCACTGAATATGATTATATTATTCTTTAATATTGAAAAATATCTTAATTATATTTGTTTACTTCAATCTGAAGATATCAATTTGTCGAAATGGCCCTGATTAGCAGTTGTTGCCATTTACTACCCATCTTGATAGAGTATCCCAATGGCTGAGTGGGGCAATACTTGTCCATAACTGTAAACGTAATTTTCGTGCACATTGCACTCAACTCAACAAAAATTTCAACACAATTTGTTATTTGTTGAGAAACCTGAGAAGTATTCTTGATAAATTCAGGCTTACTCCTAAATTATTTTCGAGAAATTCAATCCAGACTCAGCTATGGACTTATTGTCTGAAGAAAACCTCCATCAGCACGATATGTTTTTTCAACACAAACACGAATTATCAGGATAATTGCGAAAGTATCACCTCTAGAGTCATGCCGAAATCTGTTCAAGAAGTTCAAAATATTACCTTTAGCAGGTTTTAATATCATGGAAATTCTAGTTTTCGTACACAATCATGAAGATAATTTCATTAAGAAAAAATCATATCCACAATAATTATAATATAACAGGAACCAAAACAGATTCCATTTGCCTACGACATGAAATTAGCCCATATACAGTTGATGAATTTTTTTGGTTTTTATCATTTTTTTACAGAACTGATGTATATGTAATGTTTTTGATTTATTTCAGTAATTTTACCTTATTGTAAGTTATTTAAATGTGTATTTGTAATTTTCGTGTATTTTAACTTGTCCAATGGCTTTTGTAAACTCGTTTTAATGGATCAATAAAACTACTACTACTTCCGCGTTTTCATTAAAGAGGACTATGGAGAAAAAAACAATATACTGAGGTATTTTAATACGACATTCTTGAAGATGGAATTTCGAGATTTACATTCCCGAACATTGAAATTGCACTGAGAATGTGTTTGGTTTTGATAACATGGAATTGCACTGGAGAACGCTCATTTTCAAAAATGAAAATGGACGAAACGTCTTTCAGATAATTCCTGTTTTTGACAATATTTCAACTGGGTGTTTCTTAAATACGAGTAAAAATCACAGGAGCATGTTGCTGACGTCAAAATGAGAAGAAAAGTTGGTATAAACATATGTCCGCAAGTTATTCATTTCAGAGATACAAAGTGCTAAAGTTTGATTGTTTTTCCTGTTCTCTTAGAGTAAATTCAGAAATGATCGTGATGGAGTGAAATGGTATCATACCCGAATATCACGATTATTTTGGAATTCATTCACAATAAACTGAAATAACAATCAAAATTGGACAATCTGTATCTCAGAATGGATAACTTGCGGACATATGTTTATACAAACTTTTCTCCTTATTTAAACGTCAGCAACATGTTCCTGAATTTTTTACGCGTACTTGAGAAACACAATGTATATGTTAAAATGTTTTAGTTGGTCACAAATCTAACACCCATAAACGTCGTCAATATGTATCATCTATTTTATAAATTAATTCTCTTGGGGATGGGGATAATTTTCCCCCATTACCCCTCCCATATCGATGCCCTTGGTCTAGCCTGTGGAATTTCTCTGTACCTATGTTGGAAAGAGCGAAACTTGAAAACTTCTTTTCTGAAATTGCCTGTTTAGGCATTTCGTTTGAAATGATTTATTATGAATCTGATGGGAATGTCTGTACAGCCGCAAGAATTACCTACAACACATGTGGATTTTTGTCTGTTCCACTTGGCATCGTCGCTAGCGGAAAAGGTAGAACCATGGTAGAACCGTTGATTGAAAATAGTATAGTGGCACACTGGAACTAGTCTTGAAGCGTGTAGCGTGTAAACGATCTCAGACCGAAGCCCGTTATTCGTTTGATCGTTTGTCGAGCCATGGAACATGGATGACTGGATCAAGTAGGCTTATTCAATGTCCAAGGAGACTCCGATAGTTGGGAAGTTTAGAAACACCACTTCAGACTCAAAGCAGGTGGAAATTATGAATGTTTAGGAACATTAGGTACCTATTATACCTCCACCTAGCCACCTAGCTACTTAGATACTTATTATTATTACGTGAGCCGTGGACCTAACTAGGTTACGAGCACGATGTAGGCCATCGTGATTACGAGGAGAGTAGGGAGCATGGACGTGTAATAGTAGGGAGTCGTTCATGTCTACTGTAGATAAGGTATATCATATTATATGAAAGGCAAACTGCTGTAGCTACCGTAAAACTTTCAGCATATTCAACTCTTGATTACAAAGGTGTAGAACGATTTTTTTTTCTTCGAATTATAACATGGAATTAGTATAGGTAGTTAATGTAAATTTCGATAGAAACACTGAATTTTCTTCGATCAACGGGGAGTGGGGTGATTATATACCCCCATTCACGCCCCTACACTTGTATACGCGCCTTTCTACAGGGCAAGGCCATGCAAGGCAAAGGCAAGCCATATAAGGGACTAACCTCCTACTTACGGAAACCCACCTGTATGTATATAAGCACCTATTTAATGAAATACATAGGTTGATGTCGTTGAACATAGTTTTATGTGGTTTTATTTGCGCCAGATTAGGAGGTTTAATATTGGTTGTCATAGCGACCAACATGATGAATTGAATAAAACTCGTAAATAGTAATGAAAAACTTATCACTGGTCGTTGGTTTCTGGTCTGGTTTCCTCTTTCGTTGTCCATCGATTGATAACACGTCGCTTCGTTGATCTAAAACATGGTTGGTATCGATATCTCGAATTCAAAATATATTGAGATTTGAACTCTCCTCTTTTGTGCAATTTTTCCGTCGAATAATAACACTTCGCTTCGTTGATCTAAAACATAGTTGGTATTACCTAATATCTCGAATTCAAAATATATTGAGATTTGAAATCATGCAAGTTACATGGAATAAGAAACTGATATATTGATGAAAACTTTTTCGAATTCCGTTGCTGAAACGCGACATATTCTCCTGATGCTCAAAAATGAGCGGAACAGATAGCCAACAATTTTCTCCTAAATGAGAAACACTGTATATACCTATCCCATCAGGAACCTACCCCTCAATATTGAATTTGGAACATTTGGAAGAAATATTCGAAATGAAATTGATCGATTGAAATTCGTAAATAGTAATGAAAAACTTATCACTGGTCGTTGGTTTCTGGTCTGGTTTCCTCTTTCGTTGTCCATCGATTGATAACACGTCGCTTCGTTGATCTAAAACATGGTTGGTATCGATATCTCGAATTCAAAATATATTGAGATTTGAACTCTCCTCTTTTGTGCAATTTTTCCGTCGAATAATAACACTTCGCTTCGTTGATCTAAAACATAGTTGGTATTACCTAATATCTCGAATTCAAAATATATTGAGATTTGAAATCATGCAAGTTACATGGAATAAGAAACTGATATATTGATGAAAACTTTTTCGAATTCCGTTGCTGAAACGCGACATATTCTCCTGATGCTCAAAAATGAGCGGAACAGATAGCCAACAATTTTCTCCTAAATGAGAAACACTGTATATACCTATCCCATCAGGAACCTACCCCTCAATATTGAATTTGGAACATTTGGAAGAAATATTCGAAATGAAATTGATCGATTGAAATTCGTAAATAGGAATGAGAAACTTATCACCGGTCGTTGGTTTCTGGCCTGGTTTCCTCTTTTGTGCAATTTTTTCGTCGATTAATAACACGTCGCTTTGTTGATCTAAAACATAGTTGGTATCAATATTTCAAATT